ACAGTATTATTTATAATGGTCACCCAAGGAGTTAAATACAAAGAAAGTGCAGGAAATCTGTCCACACACTGAAGACCTAGAAAATCCAGCCAAGGGTCTGGATTCCATGGCAATAACCTCCACGAGGTCAGATGAAAACCTAGAGCCCATGACAATGCCTCCTATGAGTTTAACTGGAGGCCTCGAGCACACGACAATGATGCATGCAAGTCTATTTCATGGATCTAAGCTGGGAAGGCCCAAGGGTCAGTGCTGGAAACCAGAAAGTCTATGGGATGAAAGATCTGTGCCAGTAGACTGAGGATCTGCACTGGAGCCAGGAAGCAATGCTCAAAGTAAGGACCAGAGCTCCCTCAAAAAGTATCATAGCCATCCTCAGCAACAACAAAGTCCTGAGCTCCTCCAACAATAAGAACAGCCAAGTTCATATCAGGAAGCCAGCATGATACGCTTCTCCTGGAGATCGAACAGCATACCATCTTCCCCTCTATAGCCAGGAAGTGATACGGACAGTGAGGACCAGAGCTCCTCCAAAGTGAACTGCAGTCATTCTCAGAGACAAGGTCCTGAGCTCCTCTAATGATGAGAACAGCCAAGTTTATATCAGGAAAGAAGCTCGACAGGCTCCTCCAGAAGAATCCATGGCAATGGGAGAACCAACAGCATCAAACAACAGCACTCCTGTTCCTAGCCAGGGCTCTTTTTTATGCTGGCAACAATCCTCAGTTAGGCCACCTACACTCAACACCATGCTGATTCAGTCCAGCTGGTGTTTATGTTGACCATCAGTTATCAATCCAGTACAGTATGTGAGGTAATGCATATGTTACATAGTTTGATTTAGTCATTCCATAAAGTATATCCCTAGAAACATATTGGATATCATGAACATAAACAATTTTTACTTTTCAATTAAATTTTTAAAAATCTTAAATGTAAGTAGTGTAAGCATCCAATTAAAATGAAGACTGTCAAATGGAATTTAAAAACACAAGACTTATCTATCTGCTGCTAGAGAAACTGATTTTAAACAAAAGAAATTTGGAAACTCCATGCATGGAATTCCTTGGGACTCTGCCTCATGTGCTGCTTCCCCTGGTTGGTTTTTATCATTACTCTTATAGTGCAAAATTGTAACTCCAAGTAGAACAGCTCTGAGTTCTGTGAATCCTTTCAGGGAATTAGTAAACACAAGGGTAGTCTTGAAAACTCCTAAAACCTGCCATCTAGTAAGTTATTTTAGCAAGATTATACTAATAATCTAATAACTACATAGCCCAGGCTGGCCTTGAACTCATAGAAATCTTCCTGCCTCAGCCCCCAAGTGCTAGAATTACAGGCATGCACTACCACATCCTGATCAACTGCATTTCTGTACATAAGCAATAAATAATGGGAGAAAAAATTCAAAAGTAATAGCATTTATAGCAACATCATAAATATATTGATCTTAGATGCACTGATTTAACATTGATCTATAAGATACATGTGACATATAAAGCACTGCTAAAGAAATTAAGGAAAATTTAAACAGAGAGCTATGCCAGTGTTTACAGATCAATGCAATCATACTGAAAATCCTATCAGTCTTTGGATAGAAACTGGCAGCAAGGTGATTTTAAAATTCAGATGGAAATGCTAAGTACCTAAAATAACCAAAACAGTTATGAAACAATAAAAGTTTTAAGACTTACAAGCTAATTTCATTATTCATTAAAAGTAACTGTCTTAGTTACCTTCCTTGTTGCTGGGACAAAATACTCAATGCTCACAAATTAAAGGAAGTGTTTATTTTAGCTCATTTTGTAGAGGTTTCAGTCCATAGTCAGCTGATTCTAGGGCAGCATGGCAGATGAGAAACAGTAAATGGCATGGCAGGCAGGAAGCAGAAAGCAGTAAGCCTTCTAGACTTTTATCCCATCTAGACTGCACACCTACTGGATTAAGTATCACCCACACTGGGGTTGAAGGGGAATCTCCTACTATCCACACCCAGAACTATGATAAGCCAATCAGTGGACTACTTTATTTACAACACATCCTTAGTCCATATACACACACCTTAGATTCAGCCACCTCCAAAAAGCCCCATCTGTATGGATATATGGCTCTGAGGGGACATCTAGATATAAACCATAACAATAATCATTTAGATACTGGCACCAAAATATATCACTGCCTACCGAGAAGGATGGTTATAATAAAAAAAGTTATCAAGTTTTAATTAGGATGCACAGAAACTGGGAACCCTCATAAACTGCTAATGGACATAAAAGATGGTATGGACACTTAAAAACTGGCAGATACTTGAAAGGTTAAAATATTTGTTTGCAGGGCATAGTGGCGCACATATGTAATTCTAGTATTCAGGAGTCTGAGGCAGGAGGGTCACTGCAAGTTCAAGGTCAGTCTGGACCATGAAGTGAGTTGAAGGCCAGCCTGAACAGCATAGTGAGACCGTATCTTAAAAAATCCAAAAAAAATTGCTTGCCATATAAATGTCCCAGTCATATATATAAGCCTAGGTATTTAGTCAATAGAAATGAAAGCACACGTTCATAGAAAGATTGTACACAAATGTTCATTGCAGTTTTAATAACCCAAAAGTGGAAACTATCCAAATGTCCATCAACTGTAAATAAACACACTGTGGTTCAACCATCTGACAGAACACTACTCATCAATAAAAAGGAATTAAGTATTGATACACAAAAAAGAAATGATGAATCTCAAAATTTTTATGTAGAGTGATGAAGCCAGGTAGAATTTTGTAAGAATGCACACTTAAAAGATCCTAGAAAATGCAAAACAATCTATAATAACAGAAAGATGATGAATGCTCCTGAGACATGAAAGGGAAGAGAGCAGGATTACAAAGAGGTACAAAGAAATTTTTGGAGGGACAGATATGTTTACCATCTTGATTGTGATGATGGTTTTATATATGTGTATATGTCAAAATTCATTAAATTGTATACTTTAAATATATAACACTTGTGATATGTCAATTTATGTATTCAACTGTTTAAAAAAATAAGAAACAAAGGAAATAGCCAAGAAGTTCTTGAAGAAGGTACAAATATCCAAATACACAGGCATACACAAAGAGTAAAGAAGTACAGAGAATAACTGCATTTGTAATATATTAAGTTGGGACAATTGAGTATTCCACATGGAAAAAAGTGAAAATAATACTCTACCATACATAAAACACAAGAAGAATTCCAGGTGAATCATAAATCTAAATATGAAAGGTTAAAACACCTGGAACATGGGATAGGCAAAAATATTCTTTAACTAAAATGCAAAAAATTACTATTAAGGTAAAGATTTATAAAATTGACCACATTAAAAAATAAGATCTCCAGTTCATCAAAAGGTATCATAGCTGGGCATGGTGCACACACCTATAATCCCAGCACTTGGGAGGCTGAAGCAGGATCACTGTGAGCTGGAGGCCATCATGGGCTACATAAGAAAGTTCAAGGCCAGCCTGTACTACATAGTGAGACTCTGCCTGAAAAAAGCAAAAACATAAACAAAAAACATAAAGTAAATGAAAAAAATAACTACAAAACACAGAATTTGTTTAAAAAAATCTAATATTTCATCCAAAGGACTAATAGAATATATTTTAAAAACTCTTACAATTCAGTCAAGGAAAGAATAACTTCAGAATAAAAAGAATAGCATAAGGGCTGGGAATTTAGCTTAGTAGCATAAGTGCCTGCCAGGCATTGCTGGTGAGCACACGGTCATGAGTTCAATCCCCAGCACAAAAAAAAAAAAAAAGAATAGCATGGAACTTAACAAAAGAGATCCAAATATTCCACAAACATACATAAAAGTCTGATTTCACACATACTCAGGGAAATGCAAAGAAAAACCATGATGAGATACCATTATCTATCAGACTGGCTTAACTGGCAAGAATGCAGACAACAGGAACACTCAGTCTCTGTTGCCAGGAGCATAAACTATTAAAACCACATTTGGAAAGTAGTCTGACATTGCCTAGTGAAACAGAAGATAACATATCCCATAATGTAGCATCCTTAGGTACAGACCCTACAGAATGTGTGTGTGCGCATGCACACACACACACACACACACACACACACACACGGATACCTGCATAGAGTTCATATTAGTCCAAAACTGAAACAGGTCAAATGTCAGTCATCAAATGGATAAATGTTCTGTGGCATATTCATACAATGAAATTCTAAACACTAACAAAAACAAAGAAACCACAATTACACACAACATGTCTGAATATACAAAACATGACGTTGAACAAAGAAATAATTTAAAAAGTACACAGTGATTGCATTTATTTAAAGTTCAAAACCAAGTCAACTACAGTAGACTAGTGACAATAAATGTCAAAATTATAAAGAAAAACAACTGCTTAACAACTTTTAGCTTTTCTGGGGTGTTACCCATATTTTTAAAAAACTGAATGGTTGTTACACAGGATTTTATAGTAGTTAAAATGTATAGCTTTATATTTGTGTTACATTATGCTTTCAGCTTTTTCAAATGTAAAGAGCTTCTGAGATTGATGGATTAGATATTCACTTACTAAATTTGCTATTAACATTTTTGGAATATGTCACAAAACCATAATAAAGCTGTGTCACATTACTAGCTGATGTAGCCAATGAGTGGCTACCTCGTTTCATCACTTACTAGCTATGTGGCCTTGGGTAATTTAACCTTTCTGAGCTTCAGTTTCTATAAAATGAGTATAAGTAATAACTGTATTAATTTCTGAGTTATAAGAAGGCAATGAGATACTTATACAAGTACTTTAAACAGTATACAGTATTTACTGAATACTATGTATAACCATCAAATACACTTTAATATGTTTAGATTAATGCTACACATTAAGTAATCAATTTCACTTAAGTCAGGGTGTTTTCATTAATTAAAGGAGAACATTTCTATAACCACAATACTAACTCATGCAGACAATGGACATCTTTCATACATACCATCCTGTGACACCTCCAATTAACAGCTGGGTTGCCACACTATATTTTTCGGCAGAGGGTCCAGATTCTTGCCCAAATAGCTTGCGCCACCATGGTTGCTTTTTAGCCAATTCTGCAAGGTCCAGTGCCTCAAACTTTCCCTCCAAGTTTCCTACAAGAATTAAAATAGTAAATAAGAAAACATCTACTTTTATAATAAATCACTGATTCTCAACTAAATTAAGAGATTTTTCAGCCAGGTGTGGTGGCACATGCCTATAATTCGAGCATTCAGGAGCCTAAGGTTGGAGGATTGCTGCAAGTTCAAGACCAGTCCCGGTTACAAAGTGAGCTCAAGGCCAGCCTGAACTGCATAGTGAAATCCTGTCTCAAAAAGACAAAAAAAAAGTTTTTCAAGAAACATTTATAATATAGATTCTCCAATATAATATAGAATCTCCAAATATAATTCTACCTTAAATAGTAAATCAACTCTGAAGCAAAACTGCAAAACACAGAAACCGAAGATGCCCTAAATTAATAGGCAGAGATACCATGTATATATTATGTAAGATTCAATATTTTTAAGATGTTTATTCTGTCTATACTGATATATAAATGATACAATCACAATTAAAAACCAGGTTTCTACATAACTGACAAGCTGGTTCTAAAAGTGCATGAAAGTGCAAAGGAATTAGCACCATGTTCCAGTTTCTATGGGCTGTACCACAAATCGCCCCCAAACTTCATTGAATAAAAACATGCTATTAGAACTGGGTGTGGTGGTGCACACCTATAATCTTAGCACTCCTTGGAAGGCTAAGGCACAGGGAATGCAACAAGTTCAAGGCCAGCCTGGGCTCCATAGTGAGTTCAAGACTAGCCTGAACTACAGCAAGATCCTGTCTCAAAACAACAACAAAAACATGGTATCAGATTCTGTGGATCACGAATTTAGCCATAGCATTAATGTTAAATCGAAAAACTTACACAGGCCGGAAATTTTACAGTTAGAAAATTGTGCAATCATCTGAAAACTCTACAACCACAGATAAACTGCCTGCTTGCAGAGATCAGACTGTGCTTCCTAACAACATGGTGGTTGGGTTCAAGAGGTGACTGTCTCCAGTGAAAGGAAAACCAAGGGTCAGGCAGAAGCTGTATCACTCTTTAAACCTTAGCCTCAGAAGCCAGGCAGTGCTACTTACACTGAATTCTGTTGAGGGTCACAAACTACTAACCAAATTCAGGGCAAAGGAATACAGACTCCATCTCTTAGTGGGAGGAGTGTCAAAGTCACTTCAAAAAAAAGACAACGTGGAAGAAAAAGCAGTGCCACAATCATTTGGGAAAACACACTCTGCCATAATCACCTTGGGAGGAAAAAGAATAAAATTTAAGGCCAGGGGTTTAGCTCAGTAGTGTAAGCACCTGCTTGGCAAGTGCAAGATCATGAATTCAATCCCTGGTATAAAGAAAGAAAGAAAGAAAGAAAGAAAGAAAGAAAGAAAGAGTTTAAGATATTTCAAGATTTACTATAAAGTTACAGTATAAAACACAGCTAACTAATTTCAGAATTATAAAGCTATGATAGTCAACATACCACTGAACTGACCTAAGGATACACAAATATATCAGTGGAAGAGAATACAAAGTTCAGAAATAGATTCACATAGCTGTCATCTGATTTTTAGTAACAAGGCACCAAGGCAACTCAATAGGGAAAAGCCTGTTCTTTCAACAGTGTTGAAAGTAGTCTACATTCATGCTTAACAAAATGATCCTCAAGCTCTACCTTATATCATACACAAAACAGTAATTTAAGAAAGATACTATATCTTAATTTAGCAGAACCACCCAACAGATAATTAAGGAACAGGGTCTTCTATGGCCTATCAATCAATGTATTTTCCTGTTACAACAAAACATTATGGCTATGTTGAAGAAATGATCACTGAAAACAAAAAGGAGCTTGGGGTTTTGTTTTAATGTAATTTTACAAAATCCCTTAGCTGAATAGCTGGCTGTAGTCAAAAGGGAAATTAAACCAGAGAGCCATCTGCTGCACCCCATTTCCTCCAATCATTCATAAGCTACCATTAAGACTTACAGTTCGGGAAAGTCATTAGCCATGCTTATAGACACCTTGGAATAACCGTTCTGCTTGCTCTTTACTTGCTATTTATGATTAAGTGTTGAAATTCATGTCAGGCTCAAAACTTCTCACTACTTGAAGCTACATACTTTAAGTAAATGAAAGCAATCTGCCCTGCAGGAAAATAATGATCATATTACACATTTCAACTCCATAGTCACCTAAACTTAGTGGTGTGCTTATAAATGTTTAACAAGTGGCTTTGGGTGGGGCTGATTTATTCTACACACCAAATTTGGGAGTATATTCACACATCCTGAGGGAGACATCACTGTTACAGGCAACTGAGTTAGATAGAAATATTACAGGCAGTCAGACAGGGCTAGGTCTTTTTTTTTTTTTTTTTATTTAAGGAGAAAAAGGGAAAAAAAGCAGAAAAGGGGTACAAGTTATACAGAATTTCAGAAAAAAAATAAACAGTAGGAAATCACTAGTTAATGGATTACATATTGTCATCTTAGAAATATTTGTTCAAGTTACAAAATTAAAGCATATAAAGTGGACATTCAAACAGTGAGACTGCAAACAGTTCTGTTCAGTGATCCAAAAAAACTCAGTACTATCATTGTCTATCTTATACACTTAAATATACATGCAGTTATACCCGTTTTAGAGCACTTCCTTTTCCTCTCTTTCGTACAATGACTATTACACATTTTGGGTTTTATTGCTCCCACAGTTCTTATTACTTTTTTTGGAAGAGAGTAAAACCATACGTGACTTAACAGAACAGGGCTAGGTCTTCAAAGGGAGCCAGTGCAGAAGCCCTTGCAACTGTAGGGGAGACAGACATCTCCTGCTGTGGGCCAGGCCTCAAGACAAACGATCAAACAAATGCACCTGCAACCTAAGAACTGATATTCTAAGTAGATCTCTATCACCCTGAGAAAGCCAGGAGTCACCATCCCAAACCCCTACAGAAAAAGTCACTGCTCTTTAAGCATACCCTTGCTATGTGACTCACTTCCCCATTTGTCCCCGATTTAGTAATTTTACCTGAGCAATTAATCTTATTGGTTGACCATAGTTCTGTCCACCTTATGCCCACCTTTCAAGTTCCCAAGTTTTCCCCGTCTTGGACCCGTCTCACCTCGTGGTTTTACTCGATATAAGTCCCTAAAAAAGATAGTCTTTGACAACCCCTCCAGACCCTCTCTCTCTCAGACAGAAGGTTTCTTTCCCTCAATAAATATATTCTGCTCCTAACCTCTGTTGTTCCTAAAATTCATTCTTCGATTTTAGAGAGCATGAACTCGTATCAGACATATAGTAGGTTGGGAGTTTAATTTCCCTATATCACCACTAAACTGTGATACCACTAAAACCTGAGTCAGAAAGTAGTGCCCAATTCTATGGTATTTCTTCCACGGATAAAATAGGTGCAAATAACTTTTAAGAACACAGGTAATAGTGAGTCACAGTGATGAGCTTCATGTATTTTTCACTGCCTCTGTTAACACAATTTAACACTAAGTTTATATAACCGAATCTTCGATGTTTGGCAATCAGATCCCGTGAACCAGTAATTAATTAAATATACCCTAAGAAAAATGCTTAATTAAGTACATCCTAAGGAAAATACAGCCTAACAAAATAAGGACGTGCTCCTCTCCAAATTAAATTACAGGGGATCTTTCTTTGACTAAGTCAATTAAAAAGAGAATTTCAAAGTTCTGTCCCATAAAAGCCACTTCTTTCAAACCCATCAATAATGCTGTTGGTGAGGTTCCAACGAGAATGACGCCCACGAGGCTTCAGAAAGGCACGTCCAGAAGGGCAGAGACAAAGAAGCAGTGTCAAAGAGCCAGAGGCTCAGGAGAACTGAGACGCAACGTCTCAGCTCAGCGCCTGGAAGTGGCACCAGAGGCTGGGCCTGTCGCGCGCGGGACAAAGTTCCAGGCCACTTTAGTCCCTGTCCAGTACCAGTCTGGTACCAGACCCCGGGTGTCTCGCGCGTCCCGTTTTGCCGGGGCTCCACAGGCACCTCCGCAGGGGCCGATGGAACAAAGCCCTGGTATTCGGAGCCCAAGCAAGCGGCTCCCGAGGCGCCGTCCGCACGCGCGCCCTTACCTTGACTGGACGCGGCCATTTCGGCGAGCTCGTCTCGCGAGGCTCCTCGCGCAAGCTCGCCGCGGCGGGACGCCGGGTGGCGCGCAGTTTTCGTCGCCAGCTGGCTTCCGGCATGTGGGGCAGATGTTTCCATTCCCATGCCGGCGCCGGAAGAGGATGGGCGGGGTACTCCGGGCTGGTTTCCCGCCCCTTGGGCAGCTACGTCATAAAATTGAGCCTACACTGTCACAAATCCCAGGGCCCCGCCCTGGTGGCTGCAGGAGATGCACATGCCTAGGTTTCGCCGCAGTGGCGTCTGCGCAATTTGTCCTTTGCTGGTTAAGACTAACAGGAAGGTCTGATGCCGTGGCACAAACCTGTAACCTCACCTCGCTGGGGAGGCAGAGGCAGGAGGTACCGTATATTCCAGTCCACCCTGGGCAATTGAGCAGTTTGCCAGACACCCTGTCTCAAAACAAAAAAAAAAGAACAAAACATCTGAAACAACTCTGGATTTAATCACTATTACCGCATAACTCAAAACCTTTAAGTTTGGAAAACACAATTTTAAAATATTGAAATAAAAATATACTCAAATTTTATAATTCTTACCTATTGTCACTTAGGTTTATTATTCTCACTAATTAGAACAAATGGGTGTGGCCGTAGGCTAGCTATCTCCTGGGTCTGGTCTATGTCCTCCGCAGGTCTGCAGTGTTGCCAGATAACATATGTGAAGTGAACTGTGAAATGTTTACCACCTTTACTGTAACTGTCAGCTGTTCTATCTTCCCAATTGGGACTCAACTCTTAGAAAAGCTAGGTTTCATTAATTTCTTTTGGTTCATTTTGTCCTCTGTAACCCAGGCTGGCCTACAATGTGCAGTGATCCTCCTGCCTCAGCCTCCTGAGTGCTGGGATTACAGGAGTGGCCACCATTTTATTCATTTCTGAACTGAACAAATAAAGCCTAATGGTTAATATCATGTTTGAATTCTACCACTGAAAGCTGTGTAATCATGAGCGAGTTGTGTAATATCTTCATGCTTCAGTGCCCATAAAGTGAAGGCAATGAGGAGCTGTAATGTTGTCACCGGCTGGATCTGAGGGTCCCGAAGCCAAAATAAGGAACTTAACTCACCCCTTTAAAATAATTTCGATGACTATTGCAGAAAAAAACATTTCAAGACTGCTCAGTGAAAGATGTAGAAGAAAGATTCATTAGAAGTAGACATAGGATGCACTCAACCACGGAATGTAGGTGCTTAGAGAGCTGAGGCACCATGCAGTGGGGACTGGGGGACCTTTATGTGTTCTGAGGTGGAAATATGTAGAATTCAATAATCTACAGTCCTACTCTTAGTGGGTAAGAGAGGATAGTCCACCCCTACCAAGATAATAGTCTTTTGCTATGGAAAATCCCCAAAAGATATTACTTTCTTAGGCAAAAGAGGAATATTTGCAGGTAAGAGAAAATGGGCAGACCCATTTGTAGCTGAAACCAGAAGCTATTACAGGATTCTTCACAGAAAGGCAACATGATCTGTTTTATGGTTTTATCAGGTCACTCGGTGGTGGCAATGGGGAGGCAATAATAGAAACTCTGTGATTAATATAATCTCGGTTACTATTGCTTGTGAAAGTCAATTCTTTTGTTCTTCTGTCTCCATTGGTTTTATCATGTTGTATCTTATTGGATTTTATTATATATCATAGTATAAACAAAATATTTTATAGACAAGGAGATAATATAGTAACATTTGTTCATTTTCTGTTAGTTGATTCTGAATACCTTGTAATACTTGCATTCTCTTGAATGGTTTTACACTGTCTTTTTATGTATGATACTATAGTGTATGAAGGTATACTCAGTTATTTCAAGGAAAGAGACACTATGGTAGCTACTGTTATGTCGGATTGTCTTGCGATGAAACACTATATTGCTTAAACTGCTCTGTTCTGAAAAAAATAAAAAATAAAATAAATTAAAAGAATAAAAAATTCAATCTCAAAAATTATTTAACATGTGATTCCATTTATAAGAATTCTGTACATTCTCAAAAAGGATAACAGTATAGTGAAGGAGCACAGATCAGTAGTTAAGGATAAAGGATAGTGTAACCATAAATGGAAAACATGAAGAAGATTTTAGTGGTGGTCAATGTGCTCTGAATCTTAATTGTGTTTGCACAATGTTACAGTCTGTAAAAATGTACAAAAAGATGACTTTCTCTATATTAATTTTAAATAATAAAAAGATACATTTCATTAGTCATAATACAAAACTGAAAATGTTTAGAACCAAAATACACAATGCATAACTTTGGCAGAAAATACAAAAAGGAAAGCAGTAGGCTTAATGAGGGAAGTGAACTTCAAATGAGCACAATTTGAATATGTAGAAACTATAGATAGGATGGAGGTAAGGATATGAAAAACAGAAGCAGCAAAATGATCTTGGTATTTTTTTTCCAGAAATGGATTCCAAACTTACAAATCACCATACATGAAATTTGAAAGTGTTCAACCTTTAAAATACTATTAAAAGACCCTCCAAATTAAACTTTTTACTTGACACTCCAAGTTAACTTTTAAGACTTGATTATCAATTTCATCTTATTACAGGACGATTAGTTACCTTTAAAGGCTGTTACTAACAGGATCTTTCTTGGAAGCCTGATGCACTGAACATACCAGAGCAGGAATGCTTCAGCTGAAATGTAGAGTTGTGCACTGGAGCGCCTCCAACCTTCACTTATGTATCCCGGTTCCACAGACCAGATGTCAACACTTAAATGCCTGGTTTTCTCAGTTTGATATCATCTCCAGTTCTACTGATAATTTTTTATTGGATAGCTGATAATTTTTCTTTTCTTTCATCTTCTTACAGATAAAAATAAACCTGTAGCATCCTATCATTATTACACTTTCACCTTTAGCACCTTTTATTATTGTAAAAATGAGTTAGTTTAGGATTCACTGACTAGGGGAGAGCCACATGCCTCTCCTGTAGTCTGCACCATTCATGGACTTCAGGGGAGACAGCAAGAAGTAAACAAGAAGCTAAGACCTCCTGTGAGTCGGCACTACACGTGGACTGACTAGGGGAGAGCCACACACCAGCCCCTTCCTGCACAGGGTCTGGGAGACAAGAAGAACCAACATCTCCCTCACCTCTGTAAGCAACTGACTGATCCAGAGAAACACAAGCTGTGATGCTAGCTAATGAGGTAAAATACAACTTAATGTTTGTAGCGTTTAGCGTTTCACTGATTTTTCAGGCCTAAAGCCGGTAGTCTTACCATCTGTGAAGAGTATAACAATATGCAACATAGCAACTATGGGGGATCTCCTTCTGAAGGTGTGGCCATTGTTAGTTCTCTATTATCTTGTTTTGAAATCCTGTATTGTTCTCATTGTTTTGTTTGGTTGTGTTTTATGGTTTTATCTTGTTTGATTTTGTTGATGGAATGGGCAGCTATTTCAAAGATAATAAGATATAGTAGCCATTTTGGATTTACTATTATCTTGCTTTGAAATCCTATACTGCATTCACTGTTTTGGTTTTATTGGTTCTATTCTGTTTCTGTTTTGTTTGATTTTACTATGTCTGAAGGTTATCAGCAGCTATTTTGAAGACAGGAAGAGTCATTACAGTAACCACTGTTGATTTCCTATTACCTTGCTTTGAAATCTTGTGTCACTTACACTGTCTTGTTTTGTCTTTATTCTGTTTTATTTTACTTGGTTTTATTCTCTCTAAAATAAAATTCTTTTTCTGTCTTGTTTGAGACAGGCTCTCACTATGCAGTTCAGGCTGGCTTTGAGCTCACTTTGTAGCCCAGGCTGGTCTCAAACTCGAAATGATCCTCCCACCTCAGCCTCCCAAGTGCTGGGATTACAGGCATGAGCCACCACACCCAGCTAGTAAAATAAAATTTTTAAAAAATAAAAAAAGAAAGTCAATTAGAGAGGCTTCAACATCCAGAAGGCTTACTGCTTACTAAGGAAGAGAGAGTAGGCTGGGAATATGAGTAAAAAGTAAACCTCCTCTTCACTTTCACTGCTCCATCCTCTCTTCCTATCCTGAAAGGTTCTCATGCCCCTACTGCTGTCTGAAGTGAATGGGTTAAGTTTTAGCTCAGCCACCCTTCTCTTACTCTGGGTCTTCCTGTGGCTGCTTCTCACTGCCAAAAAGGAAGCAATCCTATCAGTCCTGCAGAGTGTTAACACAGCTGTCACATCCAGTAGTTAAAGTGTCCCAAAACTTGTGCAAAATGTTTGGGAATTCTGACTGAATCCTAGAAAATTTTTTCTCCTGAGAGCTAAAGACATATCAGAGAATAATCAATCTTCCACTTCTCCAATTAAATATTCTCTAGTAAGAAGAACCATGAAGATAAAGCTCTCCATCTGCTTCTTTCTATGCCTTTTGCCATTTGGTTTTAGTGCCACTAGAAGATATTATCTGGGTGCTGTGGAACTGTCCTGGGACTATTTACGAAGTGACCTGCTCAGTCAGCTGCATGTGGAGACAAGGTAAAATCATATTCTCTATAGAGTCTGATAAAGGGACATCATTATGGGTGTCCGACTCTGGTTAGACGGTTAGTATGGCTGTGATGCCTAGTTAAACCGAAAATTTTTCCCACGTAAGATATGCATGCATCTGTGTCAGTAGCGCAAGTGCTACTTGCCACTACTTTCCAGAGATCTTACCTATTAGTTGATATTTTGTGCTGTTTGGGCCATTGGTTCTTTTTGTCACATGCTGCCACTCTGAAATCTAGGGAGTGGGATAGAGGGAGGATGACAGGTAAGAAGCATAAGACAGTAAAACAGCTTCCCTTGGCCAGACTTCTGTAGGTGAGTCACTCAATATTACACACACGTTGAGTTCCCAGTTCTCTGTTGTGTGTGTACAGTATATTTTTAAATATAATATTAGCCATGAGTTCGGAAAGCTTTTCATCTTCTTGGAGTTACAGTGCATTTGAAGAGAATAGATTATTAAAATAACTTTTCCAGTAATATCTATGGTCGTTGGTATATTTATATTTTTCTATATCTTCATCAGTTTTGTTTTTGGTTTTTTGGGGGTTTGTTTGTTTTGGTTTTTGGTACCAGGAATCAAACTCACAACGTTGAGCTTGCCAGGCTGGCACTGTGCCATTGAGTTACATTTCTGGCTATCAGTTTTGCATATATATTTGTAGAAAGCAATCTCCTATTCCTGGACTTGGTAATGTATTGTTATTGAATTACATTACAGTCAGTGATTTTACTTGAACTGATTTGTGTCTACAGTTATATCTCCAATTTCATGCCTTGTGTGGTATATTTCTTTTTCTCTCCCTTTCTCTCACCTCTCTCTCTCTCTCTCTCTCTCTCTCTCTCTCTCTCTCTCTCTCTTTCTTTCTTTCTCTTCCTCTCCCACTATTTCTCCATTTCCCTCTCTGTCTCCTCCCACCTCGCTTTTAAAAAAATAACATTTTATAGGGAAGAATACATGCCTAAAATTGTTTCTTGATTTTATCATTTTATCAAGCAGCATCTTTTGGTGTGATTTATCGATTATTGTTTTTCTTTGTTGCATCAATTTCTGCTTTTACCGTATTAATTTTTTCTTTTCTAATTTCATTGGGTTCTTTTTTTAGTATTTTGACTTATCGAGGTGACTGTTGAAATTGTTTTAAATTTTGTCTTGTTTTCTTTAAATGTGTGTTAAAAAGGTTATGTATATATGATGACAATTTAAATATGTCATATGTACTCTATACTCTTTTTTGTTCTTTCTTTTTGGCTCCTTTCTTTTTTTCCCAACCAGGTAACCGCAATATGACATATATTTATACACACACACACACACACACGTGCCTGTGCATAGTTTTTCCACTCAATAACACATAATTATTGAGAATTCTCTCCAAGTCAAAATATATACCTTTCATTCATTCTTCTTCATGTAAAATTCCATATGACTATACCATAATTTAGTCAGTCTGTTCATCTTATTCATTTTTTTGACTCCAGATTCTTTATTTTTATACACTGATTCCTTGATTTCTTTAAATCAGGTGGTACCATACTGAAAGAAAGGAAGTATTCTTTCTTGCCTTTAGTTTCCAAAAGGACCAGAGCACTTCATATATTTCACTCATCAATGTATGAGAGTGCCCTTCTCTCTATATTTGTATCAGCAATAAGTTTGATCTTGTTTTTTTTTTACCCTTGCCAATTTTATAGGTGCACAATAATATTGCATCATTATTTTAATTGCATTTTTAAATTTCTAATGAAACAACATTTTTTAAAATGTTAATTGGCTAGTGGATTTATTTGGGGGGAACCATCTATGTTTTTTGCCCATTTGGGGGATATTACATTTTTAATTAATTATGAGCACCCTTAGATTATTACAAGTATTAACTCTTCCACACATAGATTGCAAATTTCCCCAAGATCCAATATTTTTCTATTGCTTTTGTTTATTACTCTTACAAAGTTTTTAATTTCTATATGTCTTTCCTTTCACATCTTCAGAACTGGCAGTATTGGTTAAAAATATCTTTCATGGTGAGGAGGAGAAAAAAAATATCTTCCATAGCTCAAGGTTGTAAATGCACTCTCCCTGGTTTTTTTTTGCAAGATGTGGCCTTGGGGTCTATATCTGTGGGTACTGAATCACACTTGAAGTAGTCTTAATGTTTTGTTATTTAAAGTAACATTTATTTTTGGTAAATGTTCTTTGTTACTTTTATTCCCATTTGCCATAGTATTTTTATTGTAAATAACTTTTTGGGCTGGAGGTGTAGCTCAGTGATAGAGCACTTGCTTAGTATGTGTGAGGTCCTGGGTTGAATCTCTAGGATGCAAACAAATACGAAAATTAAAAATTGAAAAAGAGGACTTTTTAGCATCTAGCATCACCTGAATTATCTTCTTTAATATGTTGATGGACAAATAGTTATGCTAGTAGATTTCCTGATATTGAATATTCTTATATTCTTGGAGTACAATTTGATTAGGGTTCACATAATTTGATTATTTCTGGGTTCTATTGCTAAAATTTCTTTAAACACTATATACTTTAATATTTGTAACTAGATTTATAACTTTATTTTACTATTATTACTAGGTATTGATATTAAAGTCTGTTGGAATATCAAATAAATTGATGAATGGTCCATTGTTTTCTATTATATAAAACAGCTCAATTAACATTAGTATTATCTATTGTTTAACATTAGATAAGTCTCACTTATGAATTCACTTGGTCCTGAGGCCCTGAGGATAGGGACATTTCCAATAGTTTAAATTGCTTTTCCAGTTAGAAACTCCTTTAGTTTTGCAATTTTGTTGCCACAGTGTTGCATTGAGAATAACTCTCATTATTCTTTTACTCTATATTTTTGTAATCACATATATTTGCTCATTCTTAAATTCCTGTATCTTTGAGATGTATTTATCTATTTATTTTTCTGTGAATAAGCTTGCCAGGGATTTGTCTATTTTGTTACCAGTGATAGTATTTTCAAAGAACAATCTTTTGGGTTTATTTGTTTTCTCCTATTTACTTTTAAATATGTAGTTTACTTTAGATTTTACACTTATATCTTCTTAGTTTCTTGGAGTTTATATTGCTACATTGTTTCTAGTACTTAGCAAAAGCTATATTTTCCCTTCATTTTTGTCCTTTTTTTAAATAGTGAAGGAATGTAGACTCATACTTCTTTTTCTGAAAATACTTTTTCTATATCCTATAGGTTTCATTAGAAAAGATAATCTTTCATTTTTACTGAGCAGGAAAAAAGGTATTGATTCATTAGCTGTACTGTCTTATTAGCATGCAGCTATACACTACACACATTGATTTCTTATGCAAGAAGTGTTGAAATGTTCATTTTTGCATACTAAACTCTCTATCATTGGATAAAATAAAGCTGAGGTTTCTTATATTTTACTTTCAGTTCTTTTTATGACTGAAAAATATTTCACCTGTTTATGGGCATTTGGGCTGTTATGAATAATGCTGTTATGAACATTCATGTAGAAATAAATCTTTGTGTGGACCTACATTTTCATTTTTCTTAGGTATAGACTGAGGAGTAGAGTTGCTAGGTCATATGAGAATTCTATATTTAATTCTGAGGAACTGCCAAAATGTTCTGCAAAACAGTTGCACAATTTTTCATTCTCCCTAGCAGTAGATGAGGGTTCCAATTCCTTCACATCCTCAACAACATTTGTTACTGTCTTTTTTTACTCAATGAGAATGAAATGATATCTCATTAGGCTTTGAATTTACATTACTCTGATGACTTCATGTGCTGCGGTCATTGCTATATCTCTTTCGGAGAAATGTCTAATCAGATCTTTTGCCTGCCTTTAAATTGGGTTGTCTATTTTTGCATTGACTTGTAAAAGTTCTTTATATGGTCCCAATGTTACACCTTTATCAGATGTGTTATACGCAACTATTTTCTCATTCTGTGGAGAGTTTTGTTTGTTTGTTTTTCTAATAGTGTCCTTTGAAACACAAAGTTTTTCATTTTTATTTTCAATATATCTATTTTTTCCCTTTCAATTGCTTTGTCCTTTTGATATTGCATATAGGAAGTCACTGCCAAATTTAATGTCACAAAGATTTCACCTGTATTTTTTTCTAAAAAGTTTTAGCTCCTAAATTAAGGTATTTGATCAACTTTGAGTTAATTTTTCTATGTCGTATGAAAACAGGATCTGAGTCATTTTATAATTTATGTAGCCTAAAGTTGAGTCCTGTTAACGACCTTGGAGTAGACACCCAGGTAGTCAGTGGCCAGGTATCTAACTAAACAATTAGCCACTTATCTGTTAGCATTGGTCTTGTTAAATAAATCAATATTGTACATCATACATTGTGCTTGATGTTGTAGTGTTAATCAGAGGCATTATAAATAATAAAATTTTAAATTTTAAATAATAAAATTTTGAATTTAATGGAGTAATTCGCTTACCTTCTAGGTTTCTGTTATTCTACTAGAAGTCATGCATATTTATGAGGAAAACATTGATAGGAATTTTATTTTGATAATACTTTTTTCATCTAAATTATTTTGATACTGATTAACAGGATGAGCTGACTCTAGACACATCCTGACAGCCTCTGCCAAGGTTTGAAGTAAACAGCTGAGGACATTCAATTTTACATTATCTGTTCCTGCAGCTGCTCAGCTTCTTCTAAGTAAGGGCCAGGAAATATAATTGGTATTCCGATTGGTTTTAGATAAAAGTGAAAGAACAATTCATGTCATGGTCTATTGTTTCCAAGTACACTTGGCAAGATTTATGTATTGAATTCCAAGGGAAATACACATACACACAAAAATCTGACAAAATTTAGGACAATGCAAAACCTGTGGACCTGGGAACATTTTGTCACTTAATGTGCAGATTATCCTAAAACTGAAACAGGCAAATAAATCACATATTTCTGATGTAAGGGGAAAATATTCATTCTGAAGGAAAGATCTCAGAGTGGGGAACTGTATATTGTT